TAAAGAGTGACGCACACGCTGCTGTATTTGCACCCTCCATCCACCTGACCGGACTCAACGCTGTGTGTGTCCATCAGGAAACACGATTTAGTAACAGTTCCGTGGAAACATTCACTGATAAATTGCACAACAAGAGCTATTTAATATCTCCATACAGATGTTAACAACTTCATGGTTACCTCGTATTTGTTTGAACTTAGGATCATTTACTCCTGTCTAGTCTAGAAAACGGTAAAAGTTGTGTATATTTATATGGACTTTTGCTAAAACTAAGCAGCTTCTAAACATCAGATTTTAAAACAAAAATATGTTTACAAAAAAAATATGCCATAAAAGATTTTTAGGGTTTTATTTTTGTTATTTTTAATCCAAGAGATGCTGATTTTAAAGCGTTGTTACGAAAATTATGGAATTTCCTGTTTCTGCCGGAGAGAGGGGAGTTTGTCCCAAAGCTCGCTGCTGTTTTTACACCCTCCACCTGAAAGAAGGGAGCCTCTTTAAGCTGCGAGTGTCATTACAGACGGAGTTCACTCCATCACGGAGGCGGAGTGGGTAGGGTGTGGTTTGGAATTGGGCCTAAATTAAGTAAGTACATAAACTTATACTTGAAATAAGAAAATGTACCATTGCATTTATATATTTTTTTCTTTTTATAAAGAATTACAGTTGCATTTTTAAGTAGATTACAGAATAATTTTGCATAAAGTATGCAGTGAACGTTTGAAACTGGTTACTAAGAAGTGGCTAAGTGAGCCGACTAAGGCCCAATTCAAAACCGCCCCCTACACCCTACCCCTATACACTACGCCCCCTACACACTACCCCTACCCCTACACACTACCCCCCCTACACACTATCCCTATACCCTACCCCTACGCACTACCTCTACACACTACCCTACACACTACCCTCCTACACACTACGCCTACACCCTACCCCTACACACTACCCCCATACACACTACCCCCTACCCCTACGCACAACCTCTACACACTACGCAAATAGTTCCTGCAAACATTTAATGATTAACTACACAACAATATAGACATTTAATATCGTCATACAGATGCAATGAGCTTCATGGGTTACCTCGTATTTTTTTTAATCTTAGGATCATATACTTGTGTGTGTTTAGCTGAGAGTGAGACTACAGACGGAGTTCACTCCATCACAGAGCGGGAGTGGTGTGGATTAGGCTATAATGTCAACCCGCCAAAAATTAGCTGCCTTTAGCTTAGCGGTGGTGATGCAAAGTCATTTGACCGTCATGTAGTCCCTTTATGGCCTAATGTTAGCTTTTTACTTCTGCCGATGGCACTTTGATTAAAAAATCATAAAGTGGTTCCAATATGTGGAGATTATCCTGCTGAACAAAACATGTAAATATCATGAACGTTGTTTGCCACAGATCTTGTTTTCTGCAATATTCACTGCACAACTCTATATCACAGCCATGATCTGTTGTTGAAAAAGAAAACAGATTATCAGCCATCTTCTTGCTGGATGTCCTCCCTCTTTTTTAAGTAACTGATTACTTTGATGATTGACAAGTTGAATAAGGCCAGTAATGGAGGGGAAACCCCGCCCCCCGTTTATTTGGTGGCTCGGATCTACTTTACACCTACAATAAAAAAGGTATTTCTCAACTGATGTGAGGTTTGTTACTGAACCTTTTTCATATGAGGATTTTATGAGTGGGGCAGGCGCATGGTCATGCTTTCCTTTTCCCCTCCTGTTTGAGTGCGTTACGCAGCAAAGGGGGGGGGGGGTGTGTGTGTGGTGCTGCTGTGGGTCGATTCTAGAGGACAAGTCTCCGCGTCTTCACCCCAGCATCCCTCCCTTACAGATCCGCCCTTCCTCCTTTTCTTCCTATACCCTCCCCCTTTCTCTTCTCTCTTCCGTATTACCCCTCGCCTTGCTTAGAGCTCTGGCAGTGTTAGTGTAAAAGCTGCTACTTGTGACAGGGAAAATGAAAAGTGTAAATAACCAACACGCGTCCTGGCTTGTAATGTTAATTCTACAACCATGCGTTGGCTCTGTGGTGTTTGCACAGCGGTCATTAAACACAACAGCCTGCCCGTGTCAGTGAATCTCTGCTCACACATCAAGAGAAGTAGGCCCGTGTACAAGCCCGCAGAGACAGAGTGAATAGGATATCAAGATCAACTTCTCAGTAAGTTGGTTAATGGATTCTTGACCAGCATCCTTG